AACTTTAAACACGAGAGTATCCAACTCCAGCATTTTTATAACTAGTGCACACTGGAAAGTTATCATACAGGAAAGTACTACCCTGCAAAGCCCTCACGCTACGCTGCTCTCTAGAAAGCGCTGAGTGATACCATAAAATGTTATTTTACCAGGTGAGGGATGCTCTATTCTGGAGACGAATACTGGAAAAAACGGACAATCAATAATCAGCATGATATTATCTATGTTGGGGGACTTGTTGTGGGAATAATTCATATGAATTGGACGCGTTCTCTAATATGTTTCAAACACTTCGTAAAGATAATTGTTTTAAATATATATTCTTTTGATGAACATTGAAAATGTCAAGATGTTTGTGAGAAACATCGAAATTTGAAACAGGAACAACACTCAAACACCTATCGTAAGTACCAAACCCATAACAACATCGAAAAAGGAAATAAACAGCACTGGTGGAAATTTTAAATATTCTCAAAAAGTTAATATAATTATTTTCTTTACATGGAACGATTACATTTAGAATTATAATAAATAAAGTATTACGTTTTTCATTAAATAAAGTATTAGCATGTATTAAACTCATGTACAGTTATGTATTTTATTAAATGGTTATCATTAAAACTGACGTTGTTAATCTCCCTGAAGGCAAGGGAACCATCAGGAGAAGGCGCCAAGCCAATTCGACTATATAACACTTGGAAGGAATCCTTGGGGGGAAGAATGATGCCCAATCACTTGGACGCTCGGGGATTGAACGTCGACCTGCAAGAAGCGAGACCGTCGCTCTACCGTCCAACCCGAGTGGTATACCCCCCCCCCCCCTCGAGGTAGTGGTCGGAATGATGCGGACCGCCACACTGAAGCGGCGATCTTCCCAGTTACCAGGCACTGAGTCTCTAGATGTTCCAGTGATCCGGGAACACGGCTATATCAGGAAACATTTCACAAACTGGATCAAGGATCAGGGGTCTCTGGATAAGTAGCTCTTATAGTGGTACTGGCTTACACTCAACATCATAATTACATCAGGTCAGTGTACAAGATCAGCGACCCCAAAATACCAGGTACCTCTTTCTGTTACTGAATATGCAAGTTTCCGTTACTTCACAAGGGAGCCGGTCGGCCGAGCGGACAGCACGCTGGGCTTGTGATCCTGTGGTCCTGGGTTCGATCCCAGACGCTGGCGAGAAACAATGGGCAGAGTTTCTTTCACCCTATGCCCCTGTTACCTAGCAGTAAATAGGTACCTGGGTGTTAGTCAGCTGTCACGGGCTGCTTCCTGAGGGTGGAGGCCTGGTCGAGGACCGGGCCGCGGGGACACTAAAAGCCCCGAAATCATCTCAAGATAACCTCAAGAAGTGTGTGCACCCGATTAATTCATATTCTCGCTATTTCTCTGATTTACATGATTGATAGTCACTGGTGAACACGAATTCACATCAGACAGGAAGTAAAGAAGTCACGATATATTAAAGCTTCAACGGTATGTTACGATAATGTTTATGTATAGCAATATTTGCCGTATAATTTAAATAAGTTCGGTAATGCAGACAGTAAGTCACAATATCGTGGCTGATAGACACCCAACTCATAGGCTGATAGACGTCTGAAAATTGAGGAAGTGACAACGTTTCGGTCCGTTCTTGACCACTATCAAACCGTGTAATGGGTGTCCAATTTTCTACCTCGTTATTGTGACATTTGTCTGACAGAAGACTATTTGAAATAGATAGAAATCTAATACGTATACAATTACACCTGACTGACTGATTCGTTAGTGTCTTTTGGGAAATGGTGCCAATCGGTGGTAAATTAATAATTTGGTTGCAGTGGATAACTCGGCCTTTCTGGAAAAACGTTATTGTTTTTGAAATAAGGATATGTTTCATTTTATCAGAGGTCAAAGGTGAAATGCTTCTCTCTCAATTCCCTTCTTGAACAAAGACTGCGATGCTTTCAGGTCACCTACATAAATCGATGTTGTCTCGACAGACTTACATGCCACGGGAACGAGTATCTGATCTATCCAGCTGATAGGCGGCGATCAGAACCGGGGTCGGGCGGTATCCTTGTATAAAAAAGTTATCCTCATACCATTGAACAATTTTAAATGCTTAAAATCACAGTGACCGTTTTGCTTCAGCTCTTTAAATATATTTGTTTTCGAAAAGTAGTTTGTGGTCTCCTTTTCAACTAGCTTCTATGTCATATCGTTGACTATTTATCTAGTTGGCTGATTTCTTTGCACATCGCCACCAGCTGGCACTCAACCTGATGTTCAACTTAATAGGACAGGAAGAAAAACCGAGTCTCACTTAACTCACGAATTCAGTTCTGAGAAGGAACCCTTCATTGTCTGGCTCTCGTGACCTACACTGGCCCAGCTCTTTTAAGCTTTCTTATCCTTCAATATGTAGTTTCCAGGTCAAATAAAGCTATCACCCAGACAGCCCTCTGTGGCAAGTCTTCCCATTGTGATATGAACAAAACGATGCTAATTATTCCAAACAAGGGCAACATAAAGCTAAAATATAACATTGAATGTCAAATTATTAATGTTTAAATGAAGACAATTCCCAATAATCAATTAACTTATTTTGAGCATTTTCCCTTAATAATTACATACCATTTTTCCGCATTGTGATTTGCAATTTATATGATTTGACATATTGAGGACACTACTGGTAATTTCTTGTGTTATTGAAGATCTGCGAGAAAGTGGGGGGTGGGGGAGTGTTACAGATAGTTGCCATCTTTTTCTTTTCGTTTATGGGCACTTTGGTTCAGGGGTTAAAGTGCTTTCTGAATAACAATCAAAAGAATAGGGAATTTGAATAATTTAATTTGTATGTAGTACCAACAAAAACATATTTTAATTAAAAAGACTATATTGACAAAGAATACCCTACGTCCAGCAAAAGCTCTCGTTACTGTGCACAACGGTTGTAAATATGAACGTTTTGGCAAAATGTTTAAGCATAAAAAGTTATATTTTCTCGTTAGTAGATGACTCTAAACAAATGTAGCATAATAACACCTTTGAACAAGTCCGATTTTTGTCTCTGATGCACTGTCCTCCAACACGCACTCAGCTCATTAACCGCATTTGCGTCACATCAATCGAAAATGCAAGTCAACTGAGCAAAAAGAAAGACATTCTGTCTCTGTAACATGTCAAAAGAGATTATAAAGAGAAGTGTAAACAAACGTCATGCATAGATAGTATTTGCAAATATATTAAATACATCAGGAAACACGTAACTAACAGTAAAAGGTATTGTCCAAAAAACAATTATTTTATATGTACGGAAAGAGTTGCTAACATTAAATTCCGGTCAGCGCCAGTGCAGGAGGAATTATCAGACGGGCTGGCTGCCACATGCTCACTTGGAAGAACCTTAACTCGCTTGTGTTTATTTAGTGTTGCATTCCAATTTCCACTTCCTATATGCAAAAGCACTTGAATATCAAACTGTGGCACTATTGTATTTTGACTAAATAGTGTTTATTTACGTGACACTCCGGCACGAAAGCCAAAGTTGAAGATTTATTATGTGTAGACCTATTCTAATTTATGCGGCCATAAGGATCATTTCATGCTGTAAGAAATGATCATTCCCTCCAACAATTTTAACATTGTTAAATCAATTGAAGGGATCGTAAAGTAAGGAATGTGAATTGGGACACTGAAAACGACAGCTCTATACATTCTTATATATTCTAGGAGTCGGTGCTTCCCAATCCCATGCAGATGCTTAATGATCATCACAGTTATGTTTACTGATTGATTACACAATAATTTTGCAATTAAGATTTTCATTCAGGGAGAACCTTAGAATGATTTTTTTGATTTAACCAAAAATAACCTAAGAACGATATTCGAAATAAGAGATAAATCTTTATAATGAAATCAGAAATTAGATTTAATTTAGAGATGAGAAATGTGGATCTGAAATAGTATACGGTGCATATTTTCCTCCATTTTTACTCCTCGACTCTTGGGGGGGGGGGGGGGGGTTATATGAGCAGACGTTTCCTAACATCTCTTTTTACTACTCGCTTGAGGCTTTACATTATTTTTTTTGTCCAGAACGAGATCCACTGATCACTTTGCAACAAGGTTTCAAAATACTGCTGACTGAGATTCGAACCCAGATTTCCTCGCTGGCGGGTCGAGACAAGCGCCGAGCTTCAACCTGTCCTCAGGCTAGGCTCGCTAAAGCAGCTGCCGTCTCCAAGGTCCCATTCAAGTTATATATTAAATATGCGTAGGTTAGATTAGTTATTTAGGTTCTGTTGGCGATTATTTGTATTTGAAGTACGTGGGTGAAGCGTTTACAATGTTGAGATTCGAACAGAGGTCGTCAGCTAAGCACTGTTCCAGAAGTGGACGAACGTCATTAGTTGTGTGTCGTATGTAAGCGGTTTTGTTATTCATAAACAGGGGGTTTGGCGGTTGCATTTGCCCTTAATTTGGTGAGAACGAGCTGCAAGCTTAACCAATAGGACATCGGGGATCGAACGCCGACCCCTGCATGAAGCGATGCCAACGCTGTACCAACGAAGCGAAAGAGTTTGACACTTGTGAAGGAGTGTGGATGAGGGTTTGACGCTAGCGGGGGCGAGTGGATGAAGGTTTGACGCTCGCGGGGTGAGTGGATGAATGTTTGACGCTCGCGGGGTGAGTGGATGAAGGTTTGACGCTCGCGGGGTGAGTGGATGAATGTTTGACGCTCGCGGGGGCGAGTGGATGCAGGTTTAATCCGGCACCACATTCTGCTCTTCAAAAGCCAATACTCTTCACGATTAACTTATAAAATGACATACTTCAGCCAGACTACGAAAGAACTCCCCACAACCCATGTACACTAAAGACTTTGTGTTATCCTGTGCAGGTGGCGGTGTAGGGGGTGCAGGTGGGGGTGGACGGGATGCAGGTGGGGGTGAAGGTGGTGAGGACAAACCGGGAGCCTCAGTAGCTCTTGTGCTGACGTTGTGTATGGACCTTGCTCGCTCGCCCTCGCTCGCTAGCTGCTACACCCTGTGCTGTGGCCGCTGCCTTGGGAGTCTCTCGCTATTCTGCGACAATGTTGCTAGATTTGGGGCAGCAATGAATTAGAGAGAAGGAAGTTCAAGTGTTAACCCAATATTAGAAGACATAATAGGTTTTAAGGCTTTTATAATGAGCGATGCAGTGCATATTTGTTCAAAAGATTAAGGTATGATGATTCGTTTGAAAAACACGCCAGGAAATGGATCACTAAGAATAAGAGGACAATTGAATAGGAAACGAGGACACGTTTTAAGACTTTCTCATTAAGATATTACGTGTTTAAAATAATGTCTATGCTGCAATGAGTGGCGAGCAGCCTTGCCTTGGAAGTGTTGGGGTTGGAATTACCAGCACCATACCAGTTGTGGTGACATTCCTAACCAATTCCACTTGGTCAATACAAATGATGTGGTATCGTTCGCGGAAAGGAGTACACTAGAACACAACAGATAACAGCTCCGCGGTGAAATTAGTGGAAAATTGCCTACTTTAGAGCAACTAGCTACGTAGCAGCCGGTCGTACACGCCAGAAAATTACCGCCATAAACTGAAAGCTTTACAATCACTATCAAGGAAACTGGCGCCATGCATTAATTACTCCAGCAGTGAAGGAAAGCCGAGCTCGTGCATGCTGCCGCCGGGAGGTGCTAGTGGTCGTCAAGGACCTGACTGATGATCCCATAATTAAACCCACAGGCAAATGAAGGTATTAAGCAGATGGAGAGGAAGAGAAAAGGACACTTAACAGTTATCTCGAGCGTTCTCAGATGTTTTGCGCTTATATGTCTGCTCTGGTCTGGTTCAGTGACTACTAGAATATAGTGTGACGAAGCTGTTGTGAATACGTAATAACTGATCTTATTAGTTGAGATTTATTAGTTTGTTCGACATACTTCATACCTTGAGAAATTTATTTAGTGGAAGAAATGTTATTGACTATTTGGTGTTACGTGTGTTAATCAAATCGCTTACGGATGACGACTTGGATTATACATAACTGAAAAAGATTATCCTAGTCAAACGAATGTATGATTGATGTTTGTGAATTGTTTGTATATATTATTTACTACACTTCGTGAAACAAATTACTAAACGTTAATAATAAAACAATATATAATAAAAATTCCGTAACATTTCGTGGAATACAATATAACGCGAAACTCTAACATCTGATAATACAATGTTTATTGGTGTTTAACTAAGATATGAAACATATATCGTGCAAAGTATTGAGAACACATTACAAAACCGTTTTGTTATTGCAAGATTTACAATTGATTTTCATTTATGTGGTCAGCAAGAATCTCGATCGAAACATGTAAATTTATTCCATCTCGGTTACTGGAAAAGAATAACATTAGTGTTCCCCAGAGACTTCATTTTAAAAATAGTGTGATGGTATAAAACCTTCATTCTACAGTTTCTGAAATTTCTGAAAATATTTTACTCACTGTTATACAAAAAAATATATATATGTGAAGGAACAGTAAAGATATTAAAATAAACTTAAGCAAACGGCTGAAGTAATCCAATCGTGTTTCTTATTTGTTCGTTTAACTTCTTTCGTAATCAAGTTGTGTAGAGAGCGGGATTAAGTTGGGGTCAGTATATTCTCCTCTGAGATCCCTATAAGAAAGTGACAAGGAAAAAAACAATGGGCGAAGAGACACATGCTAAGAGGAGCATGTGTATCTTCCTCTTCCTGAACCTCTTGTACACCGCTGCTTCCGACGGAGATTTCCTCTTCCAGAAGAAAAAATGTAAGTAGAAATCTTTATAGCGTTTATGTATGCAATTATCAGTTGATTACTTTACAAAGTGGAATATGTTACTTTTTAATATGTTTAGCTGATCAACCCCATCTTTATCGTCCCTGGAACTGAGAACTGCCAAAGTAGTCTTACAATTAGTCGATTGATTCTTATGGACCGTAAGAATGGTCCAGGACGGACCGAAACGTCGACGTCCCTTCACCTTCTAGTGTGTGGTCTGGTCAACATACTTTAGCCACGTTATTGTGACTCATCGCCTGCGTAGTCTTACAATATAAATTCTAACATAAATACCATATCTCAACTACACTTTAACTTATGTGTAGTGAGGATAAGATATTGTATTATCAGTAAGTTACGACTCATTACAACGGGAAATTTAAAAAAAAAAAAGTTTTATGATTCTGAAAAAAATTTCATTTTCATAAACCGGTAAGGGGGTTAAAATTTAATTATGTGTTACAATTCAACTGCCGTGTTCCAAGATATTTAACTAACTTGGCTGATTGTCAACCAGAATTCTGTATATTAGTAGATTTTTTTTTATTCAGTTGGTCCTGACTTACTATATGCACCGCAAAGTTATTCATAAAGCCATTAATTATATGGATAACATCTTTCAAGTTTCTAAACTGCCATTTGTTAATCGATAATTCAACAAAGAGCCCCGGACGGCCTTCATTAATCACTCGGGCGATTCCATGTATCTCAGTACGAAGCGCGTGACCTTGAGAATTTACCCATTGGCTCCGTGTTTCACTGCGACCCCGTGAATGAACCCAGCGTTCGATCCCAGGCACCGAGAAGTGTTGCCGCTTGACTTATCCATTTATTCCGTGCTCTACTCTTGAATAATTAGTTCAGTGATGCTTGTAACAGTGTGAGGCTTCGTTCATTCACCCAAGTTCTCCGTGAGACCAGGTAACAACCTTCAACACACACACACACACACACACACACACACACACACACACACACACACACACACACACACACACACACACACACACACACACACACATATATATATATATATATATATATATATATATATATATATATATATATATATATATATATATATATATATATATATATATATATATATATATATATGCAAACAAGCCTGAATGGTCCCCAGGACTATATACAACTGAAAACTCACACCCCAGAAGTGACTCGAACCCATACTCCCACAACTGGTATGTACAGGGACGCCTTAATCCGCTTGACCATCACGACCGGACATAAGGAAGTGATAGCCGAGGCTATATGAACCACTTCCCCGCCGGCACTCGGATGGTAATCTTGGGCATAGCATTTTATCAAATCACCTCATTCTTTGGGGCACACGTGAGGAACACAAATGCAAACAAGCCTGAATGGTCCCCAGGACTATATACAACTGAAAACTCACACCCCAGAAGTGACTCGAACCCATACTCCCACAACTGGTATGTACAGGGACGCCTTAATCCGCTTGACCATCACGACCGGACATAAGGAAGTGATAGCCGAGGCTATATGAACCACTTCCCCGCCGGCACTCGGATGGTAATCTTGGGCATAGCATTTTATCAAATCACCTCATTCTTTGGGGCACACGTGAGGAACACAAATGCAAACAAGCCTGAATGGTCCCCAGGACTATATACAACTGAAAACTCACACCCCAGAAGTGACTCGAACCCATACTCCCACAACTGGTATGTACAGGGACGCCTTAATCCGCTTGACCATCACGAGGTCGTGATGGTCAAGCGGATTAAGGCGTCCCTGTACATACCAGTTGTGGGAGTATGGGTTCGAGTCACTTCTGGGGTGTGAGTTTTCAGTTGTATATAGTCCTGGGGACCATTCAGGCTTGTTTGCATTTGTGTTCCTCACGTGTGCCCCAAAGAATGAGGTGATTTGATAAAATGCTATGCCCAAGATTACCATCCGAGTGCCGGCGGGGAAGTGGTTCATATAGCCTCGGCTATCACTTCCTTATGTCCGGTCGTGATGGTCAAGCGGATTAAGGCGTCCCTGTACATACCAGTTGTGGGAGTATGGGTTCGAGTCACTTCTGGGGTGTGAGTTTTCAGTTGTATATAGTCCTGGGGACCATTCAGGCTTGTTTGCATTTGTGTTCCTCACGTGTGCCCCAAAGAATGAGGTGATTTGATAAAATGCTATGCCCAAGATTACCATCCGAGTGCCGGCGGGGAAGTGGTTCATATAGCCTCGGCTATCACTTCCTTATGTCCGGTCGTGATGGTCAAGCGGATTAAGGCGTCCCTGTACATACCAGTTGTGGGAGTATGGGTTCGAGTCACTTCTGGGGTGTGAGTTTTCAGTTATATATATATATATATATATATATTGTCTTTATATTTTCAGGCTGTAAAATAGATGTTTGACTCGGTATTCCATGCTTGTATATACCTGTACCTGACACCAGGCTTTACTGTAGTGATCTGTATTCTATAGTAAAGTCGCCCTGTATTCTGTCTCTTCCCCCCCCCCCCCCCCCTCAACCCCCTTCTCCGACTAATAGCATGATATCACCTAGGTAACTGGTTTTCAACACAAGTTACACTTTGTAACAACTTATCTGTACGTGCTGTGGCTCCAAGAGTGATGTTCCGTATTACGGAACACCGGTGCTCTTACTCGTGTTCCTTTAAAACTTTTCGACATCAACCATAAATTAATCACATGTTTGTGATATCAATAGGCAGCAGTGAGTGTTCTCAGTCGCCTTTAATAATGATTTATTCAGTGTCCACCATGACAAGTAATGTTACACTGCCTTATTTACCGAAGTTAATTTGTTACACTTGTCTGTGTTAATGTTAACAGTACTGTTACACTTGTCTGTGTTAATGTTAACAGTACTGTTACACTGATCTGTGGCACTTTCAACAGTACTGGTACAATGATCTGTGGCACTTTCAACAGTACTGTTACACTGATCTGTGGCATTTTCAACAGTGCTGTTACACTGATCTGTGGCACTTTCAACAGTGCTGTTACACTGATCTGTAGTACTTTCAACAGTGCTGTTACACTGATCTGTGGCACTTTCAATGGTACTGTTACACTGATCTGTGGCACTTTCAACAGTTTTTTTACACTGATGTGTCACCATCAACAGTACTCGAGTACAGTGATCTGTGTCACCATCAACAATGCCCGGGTAGACTAATCTATTCCACAATCAACAGTGCTCGAGTACAGTAATCTGTGCCACCATCAACAATACTGTTACACCGGATCCAAAAAACTGTGACTGTTCATGAACTCTCAAACGAGTTACAAGTCACCACGGTAATCCTTCGTGTCCTCACTCGTCACTCCTGGCTTGAGCTCATTCGTGTCCTGCCACGAAAAAGGGATGGAGATTTTTTCGAGAGATTTGTGTCGATTTTTCTGTACGTTCACACCACTTTAAACAAAAAAATATATAATACAATTTGTTTAGATTTAGTTTAAAAAGGCTTTCATCGCGTTTTAAAGGGAAAAGCTGAATTCGGGGATAGCATAAGCTCGGCACTATCAAAGGTTTGCATCAAATTACTGTGCTTTTGCTCTCTGATATGACAAATATGTTAACATTGGTAAAATTATTCCCGTAGGTCTTTTAAAGTTATTATACAGGATAATAAATAAAAAACATTACGGGTTTGTAAATAAAAATAATGTAGAATGGAGCCGAGGTCGAAGCCTTGAGGAAAAAATCGAACACCAGCGCCTTCTGCTGCTGCTGCTCTGGTCCTCTCCCGCTATACCTTCCTGGTTCAACTTTTCCTCAATAGATGGCGCTGGGTGGACGTTCGACTATAACATCCCAGAACAACAATAATTAGTAATTACAGTTTTAAACATTTCACATTCCATATATCTTTTTCATGATTGCATTTCCAGACAAATTAGTTGTCACGATAGGAAATAACCAGAAAGTCACCAATATATGCACATGAAATAGGAGCTCAGCTATATTTAGATATTTAAATGAGTGAAAATGTCTAGCTCCCAGTAAAAGTCATTATCAGTCAGCGAAGCTATAGCACTGAAGTCATTAAAATGGAACGCTTCTAGGAACTTCAAATTCAGCTTAAACATATGCTGGCATAAAAATAGGAAAGAAATAGGTTGATGAAGACAATACTGAAATATAGTGTGCTTGAAGATACATCCGAGGCACATTTTTAAATGAGAGCATGTGGAAAAAATAGGTAGCATTTGATGATTCGAACTGTACATTAAAATATTGTCTTTGGCACTGGGAAAAAACTTGGCAGACAAGATGAGGTTAGAAAAAATAAAGGCTCTCAACCTGCTCTTAAAATTTCCCTACATGCAATAAACACTTAAACGTTTTAAGAAGTCACATATTGTCTTACTGAGGTAGGGCATTACAATTTAACAAGGAATGTTTAGACTACAATTATAGCAACTATTACTACTAGTACTACTGTTGTCATCACTCGTACTATTACTATCAATAATACTATCATTACTGCCAGAGCGATCACATCTGATAATCGGATCGTCGTAAAATCCCAGCAAATTACAGAACAGCTACTAAATGTATCTGATTTGGGCCTTTCACATATCATTAATATAAATTTATGGCCTTAAAATATTTATCAAACAATTTCCTAAAGCAATAGTAGGTAAATAACATAATGTATTTGCACCTGTAATAAACTGAAAACATTTCTTTCCAACGCTTTAAGTCTCTGCAGTCGAAGAAATCCTGACCTAAGTTTATAGGTACACGTATACTATAGTACACTACACTATATAGGTACACTACACGTACTCCTAATGTCTCTCACTGTTTTTTAATTACAGTACTGAGTTACCTTGCGTCACTATTCTTGTGCACGTGTACCAACTTTCCTAAATATTCGAGGAAACTGATTTAAGTCTTATGGTAGAACATGCTTCCTTTGAGAAATTAAGCTTTTAATTTCTTTTTGTTAAGATTTGTTTTTTTG